GTCCAAGACATGAAACAAAGGAGCTATCACGGTTAAAATTTGAGGTATTTTAACAATCTCTTAAACAGTATAATGCGCTTAACTTATACAAGCCTTGCAAAACCATCACATACCACTATGTATATGGACAACAACTTGCACTGACCATTGTGTACATGGACAACAACTAGCACTGGACATTGTGTACATGGTCAAAAACTAGCACTGGCCATTGTGTACATGGACAACAACTAGCACTGGCCATTGCGAACATGGGCAAGAGCCCTCGCAAAACAACATGTGACCATTTTGTTGAGGGATCTAGCTCTTGCAAAGCAAGCGCTGGCCATTATGTACACAGACCCCCCCCCCCACCCATGCCAAACAAGAACTGACCATACTGTACATCAACCTTCAGTACCTTACCCACAATCTTTGCAACACAAGCACTGATCATTATGTACACATACCACAATCTTTGCAACACAAGCACTGACCATTATATACACATACCACAATCTTTGCAACACAAGCACTGACCATTATGTACACATACCACAATCTTTGCAACACAAGCACTGACCATTATGTTCACATACCGCAATCTTTGCAACACAAGCACTGACCATTCTGTAATCAACCCTTGCAACACAAGCAAGCACTGACCTTTCTGTACAAGAGCAGAATGGTTTGTAATGGTGTGGAACTAAGAAATTGGAAACTTTTATTTTTTTTTGTTTTAAAACCAAATCGTTTCGCTTCCAATAACTATCGGTCCTAACGATAGCATTTAGATGTAGGTGGCGTGGGGCATTTCTGCAAATCGACTGTGATCAACGGAAAAAAAAGAAAATTTAAAAAAAAAAACAAACAAACAAACAAAGTCTGTGCAGATAATACTTTCAAAAATTTGTTTTAAAAATAATAATAAAACATTTTTTTTTAAAAAGTTTCTTCTGCATTCAAATTTATTTCGAATATTTCGGTTTCATAAAGTGGGTCTCCTCTTCTGCACAGATTTTCTACGCGCAATGTATCTGAAGAAATTTAAAATTATGTTTTACTATTTAATTTTTTAAAATAATTATTTCTGTTTCAACTTTCAATTATTATTTTTTGGTATATTAAATTTTGTTAGGGTGGTGGTATGGGATGCTTGCACTTGTCTCGGTGCCAGTCGCACATTTCCAACAACCAATTGTATGACACTGAAAAACCGTGCTCAAAAATACAATCACACAGTAAACATTTGATTTGCTAGTGATACATTGCACAATGACAGTGTGGTAAATCTATGTCACGTACAGTTACATAGTTTGGACATTTTTGGACCTGTTCACACAAGAAAGATGTCATTTGCTATGTACACATCTCGTAAATTTTAAGGGCAAACAGCGTGTACACGCATAAGTGATTCCCCAGCGCCCTCTACAATGCAGGTAAACTTATCATAATTCAATTTATATCATACTATCTCATATTCATATTTACATCACAGTTCAATGAGTCAATCGATTTATCTTTATGTAAACATAAAGCATTATATTTTGTAAACAATATTTAAAAAAAAAAAAATCATTATGTTTCAGCTTCTAAATATCCAATAATGACATGTGTGAATTCGTTTACAAATTTACACATTTGAAAAATGTTTAAAAATACATAAATTTCGTAAGGCATTTATTAAATGGGAACAACAGAAAAAATCTAGCACAATAACCACATTACTTCCAGCAATACAAACATTGTCAAATAAAAATAACCAGTGCAAATGACCACACCAGCCATCAGCGCATATCAACACATCAGACATCAATACCATAATAAGATTTAAATACTACCCACTTGTTGACATTCAAAGCGTAACTTGAAAACACTTGACATATTAGTCAGCGTAATGATCTTGCCATAATATTAACAAGGCATATCGTCCCATTTTGACACAAATGGTGCACTGTCGTCATGATTTCTTTTTTTTTTTACAATTTAAATGACCCTCCTCCTCCATTTAAGTCATAGTTGCAAGGTTGTGTAACACTCCCAGGTCACACCCACTTCCAAAAATGTCGGGGCATTCAAAGCAAACAGTTCGCACTTTAGCGAATTCTCCATTGCCTCTCATACTAGCCCAGTTGGCATTCAAAACTTTAGTTAAAAGCCGAAATTCACTTGTGACTGAGCTCTCACCCCTTGCTTTAGTGCTTTAGTTTACAGCTCAGGTAACTCCATCTGAATACCCAATCTTTCAAGTCGGGGTGGGAATTTTAAATTAAAATTTATTTAGTAAACGGTTTACCAAGTACACCAAAGAAGTCTGGAACAGAACATTTTACAGTCAGCTTGATACGTTTAGCCAAAACTCAGGAAAATAAGCTATGAATAAAACTGTTTGAGAACCACTTTCCCTGAGGCTGTTCTTGTTTTACTTTCAATACCTGGTGAAAGTACATACCTGTGGGACATACCTGTGTGACATTTCAATGTGCATACTGAAAAAAATAAACATAAAGTTATAACCCATTATAAGTAAAAGGCACTAAATCCAATAAAGTTTATGGACATTTGTTGGATTGCTTGCTAAGTAGACATTGTCTTTTATCAATCTGTATGGCAAACAAGACAGTTCATATGAAAATGGAATATTGCTAGCCCCAAATAAGTGTGTCCATGTTAAAGCATGTTACTTGGCACTGTGTTATGATGGAATTTATATAATCAGGTAATTTTTTTTTTTTTTAGACAGGCAACTTTTGTATCAAGATGTTGGAGCCATTGATGCTCATTATATCAAAACATAGGAATATCCCAAATATGTATTTATTCTCTAAGCTTCTATAGCTTTTAAGGTCATAAAAACTTAGGTTCACAAGTAAGTTCAAATAGCTTTATTTGTTGTTTTGTTTTTCTTTAAATGCAACCCATTATAATTGAACCTTAGATTTGAAAAGTTTTGTTTTTCTTTAAATGCAACCCATTATAATTGAACCTTAGATTTGAAAAGTTTTGTTTTTCTTTCAATGCAACCCATTATAATTGAACCTTAGATTTGAAAAGTTTTGTTTTTCTTTCAATGCAACCCATTATAATTGAACCTTAGATTTGAAAAGTTTTGTTTTTCTTTAAATGCAACCCATTATAATTGATCCTTAGATTTGAAAAGTTTTGTTTTTTTACTTAAAGAATAAATTGAGTTAAGACAAAAAATAGGAAATACTTAAAGTTTTTATCTAAGAGACATCAGACATGTGAGGTAAAAAGGACATAGTTATTTTACTCTGAATGCACATTAACATTCAACTCATCTTTTCAAATAAGTCACAGTATATAGAAGTTTTAAATGAGACTGGTACATTCGTCTATAGGCATTGACAATGAAAATAAAGAACACAGAGTGCACAGAATTCATCCCACACACACAATAACAGGATACGTAAATGCCCTTGTTGGTCTACTGTAACGTAATCCTAAGTTTATGTGTTCGATATTTCGTGAGCATGTTGAAATGATATGTAGAAATATGAAAATATTTACAGCAAATTTGTTAGAAAAAAATCGAATTTTAATTCAAAATGTTTATTTTTAAATCAGAGATGAAGCAAATTATAACCATAAGGAAATTATCCATGTTTCTTCCATGCATTACCAATCATTCTGTCAAATTCAACCTAAAAATCATCATGTCACAGACACTGGACAACTGTTGCATGCCTTCACAGTTATGCTCTGATGTACATGGGAACATTTTTAAAAGCAGACAGCTCTGCAAGATCCCTCCCCCTGTATTCATGCTGCACAAAAAGCTGCTCATAAAGTAGGACCAGGCACTCTCATGCTGCTAATAAAGTAAGACCAGTCACTCTCATGCTGCCAATAAAGTAGGACCAGGCACTCTCATGCTGCTCATAAAGTAGGACCAGGCACTCTTATGCAGCTCATAAAGTAGAACCAGGCACTCTCATGCAGCTCATAAAGTAGGACCAGGCACTCTCATAAGTGTGCAGGCACAAATTTTGAATTGAATACAAGTCTTATTCTTAAAGATAGGCATGGAAAAATTAAGGCATGTTGTCTATATGTAAATCTGTTGTTGTTTTTTTTTAGGTATAAGATTTTCGATATAGTTTAAGGACGGTTAGACTTCAGTGGTTAATATTAATGTGATATGGACACATCTTAGTTAAAAATTGCTCTTTTAAATAACATGGGATGATGTCATCTTTGAAAACAGTATGAACAAAAAAAAACATAATGTGATGTGTTTATAACAAGATTTGGGCTGTCATACACATCTGCACACATTTTGAAGTGTAAAATTGATGTAGATATAGACACGTGTAAATCAATCATTTGCATAAATTAATCTGGTAAATTAAAATAATTATTTTCCTGTAATTAAACCTAAATAGGAATTGGCTCAACTCTAATGACGTCATCATGTAAAAGATGTGTCATTAATGTATTAAAACCATGATTCCTACTCTCTGACCACTATTGACAGCATCACATCTAAGATATGTCACTAATATATTAAAACCATGATTCCTACTCTCTGACCACTATTGACAGCATCACATCTAAGATATGTCACTAATATATTAAAACCATGATTCCTACTCTCTGACTACTGTTTACAGCATCACATCTGAGATTTGTCACTAATGTATTAAAAACTATGATTCCTACTCTCTGATTGCCATTGGCATAATCACGCTGAACATGCGTCAGTAATAGATTAGACCTAATTAGAACTAGGCATCTTCCTCTCTGACTATCCAGTGAACTGAATCAAGAACAACAGTCCCGTGTTAAGAACGGTTCTTGGCTTATAAAAAGACACTGAATCCATGCTATTCATCTTGATCACAAAAGTGCCCTTGTTAAACGCTAAATTAGATCAGAAAAATAACGGCAACAAACTGTATCATCATTTTCCCTATATAATTTATAATTGTCATATTTATAACTAAATGGCTTATTAACAATAAGTAACTGTTTTAAAAATTCATTTTCTTATAAAAGTCGTCAATTTCTTGCAATAACTACAACTGTAAATACATTTTATAGATGTAATAACAATATACATATTACACAACCCTTTCAAATGAGCAAATAACTTTACAATTAACAATCACCCTTTTTTAATGTAATCTATCTTCAGCCCAATTTTATTTTCTAACTGTCACAAAAATGACAGAAGTATTTATCACAACATTCTTCTCTTCCCCAGCACTGCTCTCACAGCTTCAACTACGATCTCTCTCTCTCTCTCTTTCTCTCTCTCTCTCTTTCTCTCTCTCTCTCTCTCTCTCTCATACTTCATCTTCGTCTTCCTCCTCCACCGGCGTCTTTCCAATCTTCTCCGTTCCTCTGAACGCAAGTTTCTGGGTCTCCTCATAATCGAAATAGGACAGAGGATCATCCTCCACAAAGTCGTCGTACTCCAGCTCCAGGCCTTCAATCTCTGACGGCGTATTGATGCTTCGCGTGGGCGACGACACAGTGTTCTTACTGCCCCGACTGCTCGCTTTGCTGGCCCTCCCGGGGCTCTGGGGCTCTCTGCTGCCGACCCCCGCCACGATGTGTGGAGATTCGTGGCGCTGGAGTTTAGGGCTCTGCCCGTCCGGTTTGGGGAGGAGAGTTTGTCGCTCTTCAAACGCAGAACGTTTGAGTTTATTGCCGCTGCGGTTGTTGGCAAGCGACCCTTGAGACTGGGACGGCTTCACACCTCTTTTAGAGTTCGATGATGAAGAGGGCAGTTTGGTGGTGAGGTTGGATGACGAGGATAATTGCACTGGTTTGGGGGTCACTTCTTGAGTTTCGATTATGGGCGCATCTGTCGGCGCCCCGGGTTGCCCGTGGTTTGGTTTTGATTCGTTTGAGTAGGACTCGGTCAGAGACGTGGGCCTTCGTAGTTTTTTAGACGGTGGCCGCACGAACGAAGTGGTCGCCGAGTCTGTGGATTCGCTTTTGACCATGTTGTTGAAATGTGAAGGAGACTCCAGACTAGACGTCATGGAGTCAAGGAGTGGAATCTCCTCCGAGGGAGGCCGCGGGCCTGATCGTTTGTGTCTGTCGTTGAAACTCTTGGCCGTGTCGTTCAACGCTGTCATCACAAACCCAGACACGGGCCAGTTCACCTCCGCCTTCGTTGTTGAAGGGGTTCCAGATTTCTGCGACCCCGAAGATCCCGTAATATCCCTATCGAGGTTCGCACTGACGCCTTTCCCTCTTTTCTCCTGCCGCTTTTTATTCAACATATCCAGCTTTGTTGCTGGCGAAACCGGTGTCAAGGGGTGATTTTTATTGCTCGACGAACTCCCCTGGGAAGGCCGTGGGGGTTTGATTCGGACTGGGCTTATGTTTCTAATAGCCTTCTGCTCATCCGTGTCTATAATCTCGATGCCATACGGACTAGTCAGCACGTCCCTAGGCGGTGGCGACCTGGGACTGTTGTTTCCGTTGGTACTCTCGCTTTTAGTCCTATGCTTTTTCAGCTTGGCGCTCCGCGAGCTGGACGTGCTGGACGCCCTGGATGTTTTACTGCCGGCGTTTCTCCCGTGGGGCTTGCTGGTGAGTGGAAGCTCCATGTCCACGTTGATGGCGTTGCCTGGGCTGCTGGGACTGCTGCTTTGGGCACTGGACACGCGGTGCTCGTTGAGCGCCTGGTGGGCGGGGCTGTCCCCCGAGGTGGTCATGGCGTACTTGACCCTACGCCTGACGACGGTACGCTGGATGATGACAAAGATGACGGCCGCGAGGATGACCACCGCGCAGACGGAGATGCCCACTATGGTTATCATGCTGCCCAGGACAGTCTCCTTTTCGTACGTGAAGAGAACGGGCACCGTGCTGCTGACTAACGCGGCTGAGTATGGACATACAAAAATACAAGTGGATTAGGATTCATAGGCTTCATACGAAAAAGGTATTTTCGCTTAGGGATATAAATAAATATATGACATTAGTCTAATAAGAACAGTTACAAAGAATTTCAAAGATTGTCTTTTATGCTTATAGCTGTATTACGTTTTACCTATTAACATTATTTTAAAATATTAAAATCCATTTTTTCTTTGTTTTTATTCAAAATGTATTTTTGAAATGAATATTATACCCACACTAAGTAAAGTTAAGCCATTAAATTTGAGTGTAATAAAAATTTCTTAAGTAAAGTATAAAGTGTTAAATGTAAAGTGTTAAATGTAAAGTTTAAAATGTAAAGTGTAAAATGTAAAGTGTAAAATGTAAAGTGTAAAATGTAAAGTGTAAAATGTAAAGTGTAAAATTTAAAGTGTAAAATGTAAAGTGTAAAATGTAAAGAGCAAAATGTTTACTTTACCTCTCGTTTCGTAGCTAGCGATGAATCCATGGGCGTGTATGGGTAGGGTGGCGTTTTTAGGGAACACCGCGACTTGAGGGGGTGTCGCATACGCTGTCATGAACTCCACCCTTATGGCGGCCCCCGTGGTCAGAATCTCCATCGGGTACCCAGAACTCGATGACGAAAACATCAAAACGTCAGAAGGTGACGCCCCGTCGCGAATCTTCACCCACTGTCTGGTGAAGTTGAGACTGAAGTATTCGAAGCGGAAGGCGAAGTAGTGACCGTGGGCAGCCGTGACTGTCCACACCGACAGGCCGTGACAGCGGCCGGTGGCAATGATGTGACCTTTGCTTTCTGAATGCGTACAGCCACAAGCACAGTTGGGATCAAACACGGGGGAATGGAGGGGTGTTCTGGGAATAGCCTCTGGAAGAAACAAAATGGAGTTGTTTTAAAAAGTGTTCCCTTGTGAAAAAAACAAAACAAATGACGCTTCATTATCATTATGGAGATAACTGTCTCAAGTTGAAAGGTCAGAATATAGTGACACCTTATAATACTTCATGTTCTGAATCATCTTGATACATCTTTGCGTGACACATATGATGGTGCATGTATATCAGAGTATTCAACATGAAACATTCTTGACAAATGTTCATGCTCTAAGTTAAATAACAGTGTTTTACGAAGTTTCAGCATTTCAAGTTTTCCTGAACGATGAAGAGTATCTTTAAATAGTTTCCCATGAAAATTATATTGAAATAATAACCATTCCTTTCAAATATTTAAATGATCAAACAGACGTTTAAAAATTAAACAATTTATTAAATTGAAATATCGATAGCTTCTTAAGATGTTAACATAGAAGACGAAGTATCAACAGGGATATTTTTAAGCAGATCAAACATCTTTCAAATCAAATGTATACATATTGGAGCCAGGTAAAAATGCACCCAGGGCAAAGCCTGAGTTTAGCGCCCTCCTCCCGAAATATTTGAAAAATATATTTTGCATGAAAAGTTTTGATTTTTGCACCCTTTGAAGATTGGCACTCGGGGTTGCCTCCTTCCCATACCCCCTCCCCCATGGCGAAGCCGTATTGATATCTCCCACTCTAACAAGCTGTATGCAAAATGTTAGCTTTTTAAAAAAGAATGAGGGATGCTGAAGATTAAGCTTATTTAAATGGATTCAGATTAGCAGATCGCCAGACTACCGTCGCTCTCACGACTGGCTACTTAACAAACTAAAAAAAAAAAAAACGCGATTATTGAACCCACCAGGACAATGCAGTTCACAGGGTGTCCATTCCACGGGGTCGCCTGCACAAAATCTCCCGCCATGCTTCGGGGCAGGTTCGTTGCACATCCGGAAACGACTTTTCTTTCCGGTCCCACACGTCACTGAGCATGACGTCCACGACGTCCACTGACTCCAACCGCCATCTATGGGGAAAACTGCGGGGAGAAAACAATGTAAGCAAAGTGAGAAAACAGACACAGGAAGAATTTGGGTGAGATTCATATTTTGGTGAGATTCATAGAATTATGATGAGGTTCAAAGAATTTTGGTAACATGAATACAATTTTTGATGATATAAATATAATTTCGGTGAGATTCATAGAATATGGATACGATTCATATATTCAGTGTTATTTTTTATTACTTTGTTTAAAAATCATTCTGAACTTTTCTTAGATGTTCACAGATTATTTCGACTTAAAATACAGTATTCTAAAATACGAATACTTTAAAAAGAATAGAGAAAAACAAATAATGAAGTTATTCTTTATGTATGGTTGACTTATCAAAATTGCTTTAACACGAAAATCCATTTTTTTTAAAAATAAAAATTAATACCAATCAACCAATGGGATACGAAAAATATAATAATAGTGTTCTTGGTTTAATGAAGAAATACAACAAAAATAATAATAATAATAATGATAAAATCTCAGATATGAGAAATACTTTGGGAAATGCTTAAAATAATTCCAAGAATAGGACAGAGTTACAAAAACATTCATTGGAAACAGGGTGTCACGGAAATATCACACTGAGATAAGGTCAATTCGAAAGCAAAAAAAAAAAAAAATAAATAATAATAACAGAAAAAAAAAAAAAAAAAAAAAAAAATAAAAAAAAAAAAACAAAAAAAAAAAAAAAAAAAAAAATCTCAGATAAGAGAAATACTTTGGGAAATGCTTAAAATAATTCCAAGAAAAGGACAGAGTTACAAAAACATTCATTGGAAACAGGGTGTCACGGAAATATCACACTGAGATAAGGTCAAATCGAAAGCAAAAAAAAAAAAAGATTAATAATAATAACAGTAAAAAAAAAAATAATAATAATACATTTAAAAAAACCAACAAAAACATCAACAAAAAGCTTTTAAATCAAAGAAAACATAACCCCTCAAATAAATTATTAACCCAAATAATATGAACAAAAGAGCAATTTAAAAATAAAGCCACACAGATGAACAACATTTTATAAAAGACATCAATGAAGTTCTCACCAAATGTTTGTTCCGGTCAGAAATGTGGCGTGCAAATTGATACATTCAAATGTTTAAATGAATGTTCAAATAAGACAATATATTTATTACAGCGACAAATCATCTTATATTTGTTCATTATTTTTATTTTTTTTTATTTTTATTTTTTATAATTTAAAGATGTTCCTTACCAAGAACAACAACTGCGTCACGAAGTCGATGCAGGTCTAAAATATAACTGATTCTCTCCCTTGCTAATCTCACAAGGGAAAAAATGTACGTTCTAATTTTTTGTGCATGGCCGTAAATTATTGTACACAATACGTGACACATTATGTATTATACTAACGACTTACTTCCAGCACATGAAGGACACATGGCAGAGATGATAATATAATGAACCGTACAAATGATCTCATCTTATCTTATAAAACGTTTATTGATAAGCTTATTTTTTTTCCACTGTGATGATTGATAAACTTGGTTGGCTAACTGATAAGATCTACACACGATCTTCTTTAAACTGTGTAGATATATTAGGCCTGAAGGGGATGAAGTGAAAGCTGATACAAAGTTGTCCCCACTGTAGCTGGCGTCTATTGAGAGCGTCACTTTATAAAGAAACTCGAGTTCACTAAAAATTTCTTATTCATTAACTGTCACATTTTTTTTCTTAAAAACGTACACTAATCTCTATTACAATATGCGTTGATTTATTGATCGATTATGATATAAGTTTTGTCTCTTTCAAAAGATATTGTATTCCTTGGAAAGAACGTTAAATAAAATTAAATTAAAGTTAAAGGTTTACATTTTAGCACGCACACTGGGGGCGTCATTTTACTTTTTTTGTCAGGGGGGGGGGGGCAAAAACAAACATTGGCCGGCCTATGTTTATTACAATTTAAATGAAACCGGCAAATTCATGGGGGGGGGGGGCAAAGGCTCCACCCTTCCATACCCAAATGACGTACCTGCTCCTCACTGACAAAGTCATACCCTGGCGGCTAGATGTATATATATATATATATTGCAATATTAGAAAAATAATTTAGTCATACAGTTCAGCTCTGCGTCTCAGCTACTAAAAAATTAGTAAATTTTTAGACTAATGGTGTTGTTTTTTGTTGTTTTTTTTTCAATTTGTTTGCGTTTAAAACCCACCTGATTATGGATAGTTAGCCTATAACATACCTGAGTTAGGGTAGGCAGGTATGCAGTGCTGCGCCTGCTCGGACACCACATTACGACGTGTGACACTCACGTACACGAAACAGAACCCGCTCGACGATCTGTTGAAAAGATCGCAGGAAAAATACTTCTTGGTGAGGTCTGGATCCGCCTCAGACTCCGTAATGTAAATCCGCTCGAGGGGCGCCGCCATGCTCCCGTCGGTCAGTGTTCTAAAAGAGTAGAGTCGGATCTTGTCTTTCCCGGAACATGGCGGGTGGGTGTATATTAGCGTGATGCCACCTTCACAAGGGAAAGCACTCTGAGCCATGGAACTCAGAGCGTATCCGTTGCTCCACGTCACTGGCATGATATTGCTTGCAGCGATTATTGGACTTCCGGAGACGCTAGACTCCAAAACAGCCTGGTACGATCCGTCGAGGTCGAATATGTGACAACCAAGAGATATCACTGAAAACTGTCGGGTGACGTCGGTAAAGTTCGTCACAAACACCACTTCCGCCTCGGAGAGCACCAACATACTTCCTCCTATGTCGTTGCGCTGAAAGTAGACGTTGATGTTCATGCGATGGCGAAACAGCAGAGACGAGCAATTCGCCCTCGACAGGATTCGTAGCTCCACGGATGTCGTCTGCGCCTGGTGGGCGTCGGGCAGCGACATGCTCACCTCCGGCCAGCGGGCGTTAAGATTGGCCTGGGTCAAGATGTCCCCATTGACACGCGTGTACATCCTGAGCGTGTAGTTGCCGGCAAACTCGATGACGCCGCACGTGACCTTCAGGGATGACGTCTTCCTGCCCAACATGAGACCCATCGTTGTGATGATCATAGGACTCTCATTGATCTGCAATAAAACACAAACATTTATTTACCGTAACTATTTTGGAAGAGATCATTACACAATTTACATATTTTTTGTTGTTGCTGTATCTGGATTTCGTTATGAAGTGGTGTGAATTTTGTAACTTTTTCCATAGAACTCTTATGGGTTTATTCATTCACCTCCATACACTGTTCGAGAATGGGTTTTCAAAGCATGGCTTCAAAGAGCATAGGTTCATGGATCGTAGGTTTATTTAGTATTGGTGTATGGAATATGGGCTCATGCAATAGAGGTTCCGGGCGTCATAACGCTAAGATACAATTTAATTCTTTTAATTGGAAGAACGATTCTAAAAACATAGTGAATCTTTTTTTTTTTTTAAACAACATTTTTACGAACTTACGAAATACACATTTTTAAGACAAATTTTGGGGAGTACTCAGAAAACAGATGAACAAACACAATACAATGTACCTGTCTTTGGTACTCCAACCTGATGAAGGCATGCGGTAGGGAAACATTGCCTGGAATCGTGTACGTGAATTCAAGGTCACCTGAGAAGACCACGTAATAGGCGGGAGTCGTAATGTGGTAGAGTCGGTCTGTGAAGGAGACAAGGTTATTGAAACAATTATTATAAAAGAATGACCTAGTCGTTATAAAAATTTAAAAAAATCAAAGAGGGTCAGGTTGCGGTCGCACAGATGGAAACTGTTTCTTACGCAATGTTTTGAAGAAAATGATAAAATTATGTATATAATCATAACAGTGCATAGCGAGAGACTTATATCTCACGTATTGTACATTGCGAGAAGACGTATATTTCATGTATTGTACATAGTGAGAAGACGTATATTTCACGTGTTGTACCTTCTTTCCTACAGCGTTAAATCTCGAAGAAGGCCACGAAATCATATTTACATATAATTCGCCAGAAACAAGGGCACAACAAGACCAAGACGACCACGCGGGCTATATATAGATACGCCAGAGCAAGCAAGACGCAGGCAAACCCTACCCTCCCTTCCCTTGCCTGCACATCGTTGGTCTCGAGACATGCGCACTGCGGAGGAGCTACCCCCCCCCCGCCCCCTCCTGCACTAAGCCGCGGGTCGGCTATATTTATATAGTTCATGGGTTTGAAATAAAAAGTGTGCAGTGACGTATCATGAAAAAAAAAAAAAGCAAGGGGGACGGTGCAGCAAAATTGTCATTCTTAAATGTGCGTAACTTGAGTTCATGTTTTTGTCAAGTAACTTTAGTAGATGAGAAGCTCACACATTGCTGTCGCCAGCGTTTGGCGAGCTATATCTACTACTTCAATATTTCGAATTGTTGCAAGCGTAAAGCAATGCTGCCGACATGGCTGGTAGGTACGATGGTAGCCACGGTCTGTTGTAAGACAATGCTGCCAACATGGCTGGTAGGTACGATGGTAGCCACGGTCTGTCGTAAGACAATGCTGCCAACATGGCTGGTAGGTAAAATGATAGTCACGGTCTGTCGTAAGACATTGCTGCTAACATGACCGTTAGGTACAATGACAGTCACGGTCTGTCGTAAGACAATGCTGCCAACATGGTTGGTAGGTACGATGGTAGCCACGGTCTGTCGTAAGACAATGCTGCCAACATGACCGGTAGGTACAATGACAGTCACGGTCTGTCGTAAGACAATGCTGCCAACATGGTTGGTAGGTACGATGGTAGCCACGGTCTGTCGTAAGACAATGCTGCCAACATGGTTGGTAGGTAAAATGATAGTCACGGTCTGTCGTAAGACAATGCTGCCAACATGGTTGGTAGGTACGATGGTAGTCACGGTCTGTCGTAAGACAATGCTGCCAAAATGGCTGGTAGGTGCAATGATTGCCACGGTCAGTCGTAAGACATTGCTGCTAACATGACTCGTAGGTACAATGATAGCCACGGTCTGTCGTAAGACATTGCTGCTAACATGACTGGTAGGCACAATGATAGTCACGGTCAGTCGTAAGAAATTGCTGCCAACATGGCTGGTAGGTACAATGATAGTCACGGTCAGTCGTAAGAAATTGCTGCCAACATGGCTAATAGATACGATGGTAGGAAGCAAATAGGTTATAATGAATTTTTATTTTTTTATGTCATGCGCTGATCTCTCATTAAATGGAATGTGCCGCTGTGCTGTTGATTGCTGTCTTGATGCAATGGACTGTTTTGACATGAACAAAAACACTTAGAATTTTTGGTCATCCTACACAGAGAGGTGCACAGCTTTAAAATCACTTTAACAATCTCGTTAACAATCGCCTCAATATGTGTCACAAACTAGTTCGGTGCACATCAAAAATGCCCCAAAGGCTATTCTTTTAACACTTCATGGCTATCATTAATGGATTTGATCAGTTATATTCCCGTCTTAACCCTCGAACTGTGGCATGCATCATTCTGTGGTGTGGAGCTTTTCAGAGCGTTTTGAGTGCCTTTTGAAATGGCATTAAATGACATAGTTATATTGATGCAAGACCCCAATAATTATATATTTTAGAAAGGTAAATGGATGCGAATAAAGTTGGCCATATTTCCCACCCCGTAAAAAATGTTTTTGCTCAGTGTCCTTGACCTTGAAATTCTCAAGAAAATAAAAATCGACAAAATGTCTTGCTTTCAAGTGCTCCTAACATCATTAATTTTTACAGATCCACTTAAAACACAAATCTAAATGTTGTAGCCAATTCATTTTGCGGGTAACTCGAAGGAAATTTTAAAAACAAAATTCTAGAATTTAATGAACTGGAAAAATATTATTTTGTTTAAATTTTTAAAAAATGTCAAATATATTCTGAAACAAAAATGTTTACAACTTTTCTTCATCTGGTGCCTTTTATCGGTGTGTCGTTAGGGTGGGCGGGGGGGAGAGAATGCTTAAATTTAAGTAATAGTAAGCGCCTTACTGTCATGTCAGGTCAGTTTTAACCTACACTACAATATTACGAAAAAATAAAACATTCAAAGTAAAAAAAAATAAATAAATCTTTAGAACAATTGATTCAGAATATAAATAAAATATCTGACTATAAACGTATCTGACTATAAAAGTATACTAACAAATGCGTGCAATGGTAAACTTAATAAGTGTAAAATTAAATTCACTGATTTTTTTTAAGGGGAATGAATTCGCCAAGGGGGGCTCTAGTTAGCTAAGTTCGACCCTTGTTGGAGTGTATAAAATAACAAAGAATGGGACGAATGTACACATCAAGGTGAGTGGAGCAATTATGTAGATCATCGTTTGTGGTCGTTTCACATTTCCATTTTCGTAACAATCACATTCTGAAAGGCTGTTACGTAAGGTTGAAACCACGCCGTGTGATTCCTACGTTCCGTCAATATAATCCACGTGCGCTACTGACCTGACCCAACACACACGATGAAGTGCCTCTAAACGTCTCTTCCTTCCCTTCCCGTGCTCTGGTTAATTACATGTCGTTAGACGCCAACACCATCTCTCCCCCCTCCTCTCCCAACAAGCTTTAATGACATTATAACAACATGCGTTACGGCACGCTTGTAACGAGTCCAGTGTTTTCAATAACCTTTTCCGATACTTTTCCGAATAATTTTGTCAGAGAATTGTGTGAGGGGGGGGGGGGGGGGGGGGGGGGGTAGAGACTTAATTTAAGAATAATCCGACACAGGCTTTTTATCTCACGCTAGGGAGACATGCCTGAGTAGATCCGTGAAAGGGGACACTCTTGAACACGGTATGAAAGAACCAGGGCGATAAGGGGTCTTGCCGTGTTGCAAATATTTGCAGTTATTTCCTTAGATCAGCGGTCTCAAACTCGCGGCCCGCGGGCCATTTGCGGCCAGAAAGACGATATTTTGCGGCCCGATACCTGACAGCTCATATCTATAATGTGACCTTCAGAGACGGTTTCAGCCGAATCTCATCTACTTGTCTAACGCTGAATTTTGTTATGTTTGTGTAGGTTTGGATGTTGATTATAATAGTAAAAACTGTTATAAACTCGAAATAAAAGTGTGTTCTTTTATAGCATTTTATGACACAAACATGGCGGCCAATGTGCAGTTTGAAAAAAGTTTAAAAAGTTAGTTAGTGTGTAACTCACAACCATAATTGTGTAATTCATTGCAATCTAACACAATATCAAAGAATCCCTATTAAAATTTCCACTTGCGTTTACAGGTGAGGGGAATTCCGAGCCTCTCAGCTTGGTCACTTTCTAAATAGGATAAGTCAAAAGGGATTTTTTCGATACAAACAAATAAAAATCATTCTCCCTACAATAGCCCCTTCCATCGCATCAATAAAACATGTATGTAGCCTGCTCCTGCTTACTGTTGGAATACGTTTAAGCGTTTAAAGCCTTCATGGAGAAGGATGGGTGGGTTGTTGGTGTACTAAGTGATCCCTAATGGCTCATGGATTTTGCTTTGTTTTTTGACATTACACAGGAGCTGAATGTACTCAACAAGAAGTTAAAAGACCAGGGGGGGCTTGTCTGTGTTGTCTATGACAGTGTCACGGCATTCTGCACAAAACGGTTCTCAGAGACATCTCTGACTTTTCCCAACATGCAAAGTATTCATCGACTCAGGCACACAGTATACTGATGCCATTTCGAAGTTGCAGGAAGAATATGATCACATATTACCAAACGCACAGAGATATTTTTAAAAACATTTCGCTGAGCTTTTCAATGATGAAGAGATAAGTCCAGTCGTCTCCCCTCCCCCCCCCCTCCCCCCCCCCCTCCCCCCCTCCCCCCCCCCCCGGGCGCTTTAAATGGAGCTGATTTATCTTCAGTGCAATTATGAACTCAAGGCTAAGTTCAGGGAGGTGAATGGAAAAACAGACAAGCAAGGATAATTTATGAGAACATTGCGCGCCAACTTCCTTGAGATTTCCAGTTAGTTCAAGCGGATCATGTGCCTTTTTAGGAGTACCTATCTGTGTGAAAACCTCTTTTCAACTGTGAGCTTTATCAAGGTCAAAGTTCAGGGTCAAACGTACTGATGGGCATCTTCAAGCTGTACTGAGAGTCTCAGCTGCTTCCTCACTTAAGCCAAATGTTGCTCAGCTGTGTAAGAAGAAGTGCTGCCAGTTCTCTGGCTACAAAGATGAGGAAGAAGAAATTGAAGCCCAGTTCTTGAGAACCCTTAATGTTTTTATTTGTTATTAATAAAGGTTGAGCAGATTGAAACAGTTAACTTCATCGAATTTGTAATCTTTTTTTTTTTTTTTTTTTTTTTTTTGGATATTTTTT